CTCAGTATTTTTTAATAGTCCTATAAACATGCGCCTAAGAATTCTGCGCTCGATACAATAACGTCCTTTTGTTGCTATGACCCTAACCAATAATGACCCTAGTTAGTTATTCCACCAAAATATATCAAAAGATATAACTCGTTTATATAAAATCGTTCCAAATGATCGATCAGGGTCTTAATAATTCAGTTAACATGTAGTTTAGTAAAATTGTCAAATTGGCAAGTGAGTTTTCACTTTATCATACACTAAACCGATCGAATGTCAAACCATGCGTGCTAATATTGGGCTAGACGGTCAGAGTTGATCGAGTGATCGTCCTCCAGAGGGACTAATAAGGGCACTTCCATAAGCTCCAAGTAAAACTTGTTTCTAGCATTCAGTATAATGTTTTCATGTAATCGCTTGGGTCACCAGATGAACGAACGAGGTTCTCTACTTGCCATGAGATGACTATTCCACGGGTTTGTTCTGTAATTCCGCACAATTTCGCATAATCCCTCTCTTCTTGATCTCTCAACCGATAGACTTCGGAGTGCGTAAACTCACGGGTAAGAACAGTATTGATTAGCATCCCAGACAGGCCATTAGCCCTCACTCGACCGGGACAATAAGAACTGGCCACTTGTTGCGTGCAGTTTGGACATGTGATATTAGCTGTAATTTCCCCAGGGCTTTGAGAAAGGCGAATGCTCTCATTTTGTTACCCCGAGGGAATTTGATCCTCATCTTTCGCACATCAAACCTGATGCAAAAAACAAGTTGCTTTTCTCGACCGAGTGAAGCGAAATTTGTGACCTCTGTGTTCGACCAGCCGTTAATCCACCAAGTTGTGGGGAAATGTTTGTTAGACAAATTGAATTTCTTCACAGAGTGATGCTAAATACTGAAGGGAAATGTTTCCAGTGCGTCAAAAAATAGTTTATTGCCTCACATTTTTCAGTTATTTATTTCGATTGAGTTTCCTTTTTTTGCACGACTAAGAAACATTCCAGCATATCTGAATCAACCAATTCCATTTTGATCTAATCTCCATTCTCTTCCTCATAAATCAGGTGGACGCGGATGAGCTGATTCCGGTCTGTGGTGTTGGACGTCAGCATACGAAGGCAATGGGTGCATTTGTGATCGGTCCCCAGCTGACTTTAACTATAGTCGGATTACTCACGCTGATAATCGGTGGTATATTGGCATTGGTTCGACGAAAGCGCGTTTTGCGTCGCGCCCAGGAACGTCGTCGAAGCAATCGGGGAGCAGAAATACACACATCGGATAGCAGCCGTCTTTTACGTAATAGCCCAGTGGGTCATGCAAATGAATTTACCACGAAATCTCGGAATTCCCGTACACAGTACAGCGCTAGTGTTCAAGAACCTAGCCGCCGTCAGTCATCCATGCCACCGGAGTCATTTTACGGCCCGGCTCGCGTGCCCTATGCAATTCCCTATGTTCATAGTAGCTCCTACGCATCAAACGGTTGGCTTCGAATGGGGCTGTTCTGTTTCTTGTATCTTCTTCCAGTGACTTGTGTGACTGCTTGCGATTTGTACGAGTATTTGTCACGCGACAAATGGCTTCGCGATAGTGCGTACAAAAGCCCCAATCCAGATCCAACTGGACAACCGTCGCCATCAATTCCGTTTCCTCCAAAATTATGGAAACCAGAAGAAGTAGTCGGCCCGAGTCCGGAATTGTTTATGCTTCGTATTTTTATGTCTCTTGTAACTGGATTCACATCCGCCTTATGGATATGGTCCGTCAAAGGATGCAGACCATGGGATCGGGTTTGTCGACCACGTCGCGGAGTGTGTCCTGCCCGGTGGTGTTTACATCGTTGGTGGGCCAAAAAGTCCACTGCATCTTATTCAGACGTAGTCGGTTCTTCATGGTTCAAGCCTGCAACGGTTAACCAGTCCGATAAGTGCACGTTTGCTCAGGAGCGCACGTTTGGAGTAATGGGAAGCAATCATGCCCCTTGTGGAAAACCAGCCGGACCCTGTATACCCGGTATCGTTTATACATCTCATCCCTACGCAGTGTATCAGTACCATGCCCCAGACGCAGGAACTGGTCGATCAAACAGCCAAGAAAATCCCAACGACGATACGGGTACTCGTTTACCTGCGACTGGTTGTCCGACTTCAGCTAACAACGCTGCCACAGCCACTTCTGCTGCCTGGAATCCCAATCTGCCAGTGGTGATCGATCCAGGTAATCAGACAATGTGCGCTACTCAAGGTCCGGAAACACAGCATTCGAATGCCACAACACCAGGTTACTACAGCCAAGCAAAAGTTGGCTCAGCCATCGAACCAAATCTTTCAGACACGTTCAGCGAGGAATCTCCTATTCCACCTCCGTTGCCTGCCTCAAGTCGACCGCAGTTACCAGCTCGCGGAGATCCGTGCATCGGGGCTGCAACTCCACATGTTACATCCTTAACCACATCTGCACCAGCTCCGAGCGTAATGACTCAGCGGTTCAGCTCGTGACACAATGGAAACAACCTCGTCAGTTTTCTTTCTCCCCGTTCAGTATCCTTCCTTCCACCACGCGAAACTCACTTGTCCTATTCATGTATTGACCTGTTCATTTCAGATTTAATCCCGATTGTTCCAGTCCTCTTATTTGTTGTATTTTTTGATTATTTCTCAGCGGCTGCCTGTAGCTTGGTTTCTAACCGTGGGTTTCTTCCATCAGTCAGTGATAATTTACACCATATTCAACTAATATTTATGTCTGGACATAAATATTTGCATAGAAACGGAGGCAAACAAAACAAACAGCCACTTGTTTACAAAGTGTTCGTTACCGTCCACACAGCCACAGCAATATCTAATCGAATTAATTTGAATGAAAATGTTGCAATTCTCCTCCTCCCTCTCCCTTTTCTTCTTCCTCCACCTCCTCCTCCTAGTAATAATTCAACAATATCTACTAAACCTCCAACACTTTCTTCATACCTTCTATTCTTTCCGCTATAAACTGCTCCTTTTCCCAAGTGGTACAGACTATCGAATTATGTACAGAACCATTTGCCGTCTATGCGTGCATGTGTACTCTCGCATGTGTTAATATGTTTATGCAAAAGAAAACCGAGTGCGCG